CAAAGATCAAGGGTTTAATTCTTAAATTATACAAAAAGTAATAAATTTTAATAATACAAAATAAAAAATAAATAAACGGGCCAACCCATCAGCCCGTCCAACACGGGTTGTATTTGGATGAACTCGAGACGGCCCGGCCCGTTTCTGGATGAACCCGAGACGGGCTAGCCCGTTTTGACATCTATACCTCCAACTCAAAATATAGGGTTTTTATATAGAGCAAATACCAATTTTGGTCTCACGAGTATTAGGAAAATGACAGTTTTAGTCCACATGTTTAATTCCTATCAATTTTAATCCACGACTATTGTTTCAATACCAATTTTCATCCACGACTATTATTTTAGTGTCAAAATTCATTACGCCGGTCACCCCTTCGTTTAAGACATGTCGAATTATGAAATTATTAAGGGTATCTTCGTCCTTTTCAAATTAAGATCCCAATTTGAGCATGAATAAAAGGGATTTAAACCCTAAGATCTATCCCAATTCGTAGTTCTCCTCATCAAATTAAGGTAGGATTAGGAGGAGAACTTCTAAATGAGATCAATTTTAGGACTTAAATCCCTTTATTCATGCTCAAATTGAAATCTTAAGTTGAAAAGGACGAAAATTCCCTTAAAATTTTTAGATTTTGGCATGTCTTAAATGGAGGGATGACCGGCCTGATGAATTTTGGTACTAAAATAATAGTCGTGGATGAAAATTGGTATTAAAACAATAGTCGATGATGAAAATTGGTAGGAATTAAATATGTGGACCAAAACTGTCATTTTACTTATAATTGTGGGACCAAAATTGGTATTTGTTCTTTATATATATACTAGTTTTTACGCGCATTGCGCGATTGGGATAATGCCCAATATTTTTTTTTAAATAAGTACTTTAAAGTATATCAAGGCAAGATTATATTGGAATTGTTCATGCATAGATAATTGAATGTTAAATTTGGTATTTAAATAGGCAATTCTAAGTTTACAAATGCAAGATAATATAGTCAAAATTGATTATAATTGTCAATAAAATAATTGTATTGGTATGTTTGAAACCAAATACGGGACATAAGGGAGAGCAAATAAAAATTAGCGCATAAAATATTAAATATATACTAATATTGAAGAGCTAACTGCTGATTGCCAAACAGGAACATTGCGAGATAGTTTCCACTTCAATTTGTTGTGTGATTTGAATACTCTTTTTGTCAATAAATCCCCCAAATAGTTAATATAGTTGGCTTAATTATATTTTTTTAATTTTTTAAAAACTATTATTATTATTATTATTATTATTATTATTATTATTATTATTATTATTATTATTATTATTATTATTATTAAATATATATATACCCTTATGTCATTTTACATGTTAATCTAAACAGCTAATTTTTTCAAATATCTTTTTACCAACCGTTGATATAATTCGCTGGTCAAATTCGTTAATATAATCCGCTAACGCTAACCGCTAACTGCTGATTGTCAAACAAGGACATTGCGAGATAGTTCTCACTTCAATTTGTTGTGTGATTTGAATACTCTCTTTGTCAACAAATCCCTCAAGTAGTTAATATGATTGGCTTTATTAATTATATTTTTTAAATTTTTTCATGGTATTAATAAAATACTTGGTAAATAAATATATAGTATTATTTTGTATTATAACTTTGATATTTAATTAAAAAATAGTGCACAAAAAAGATATTAGACAATGTAGTGAATATAATCAATTGATGAATTTGAATGTAAAGAATTTTTACATTGGAGAAATATAAAGACAATATAACTAATAAAATTATTTCTCTTAATTAATTTATTGATAATGAATTTTTTTTTTTAATAAAGACATTGTAGAGACAATGTAGCAAATATAATCAATTGATGGATTTGAATGTAAAGAATTTTTATATTGAAGATAAATAAATACAATATAACTAATGAAATTATTTCTCTTATTTAATTTATTGATAATGAATATTTTTTTTTTTTTGAATAAAGACATTGTAGACACATAATTGTAAATTAAAGAAATGCATATGCATTATTTTTTGTTGTAGCTACTAAATTATTATTTAATTTAATTTAATAAGAGTAAAATAGAGTACTAATTATGCCAACTTTGATTGGGATGAGATTCGAACCTAAGATCTTTCTTATTGAAATCAATGAGTAAGTTAACGGTGAACTAACAGAAATTAACGAAAAAGATAATATTTAACGGAAAAGTTAACGGATAATCATATTCAGTAAGGATAAATTAGGAAATTTTAAGGAAATCTTAAGGAAAAATTAAAATCTGATCAATCTGAGTCATTCATTTGATTAAAAAATTTAACTGCCATTTTTTTTTACCATTATAGGCTTAATAACTCTCTTGGACTCTTATTAGTATATATACTAGTTTTTTACGCGCATTGCGTGATTGAGATAATGCCCAATATGTTTTTTAAATAAGTACTTTAAAGTATATATCAATGCAAGATTATATTGGAGTTGTTCATGCATAGATAATTGAATGTTGAATTTGCGTATTTAAATAGGTAATTCTAAGTTTACAAATGCAAGATAATATAGTCAAAATTGATTGTAATTTTCAATAAAATAATTGTATAGGTATGGTTGAAACCAAATACGGGATATAAGGGAGAGCAAATAAAAATTAGGGCATAAAATGTTAAATATATACTAATATTGAAGAGCTAACCGTTGATTGCCAAACAATGACATTGCGAGGTAGTTTCCCACTTCAATTTGTTGTATGATTTGAATAATCTTTTTATCAACAAATCCCCCAAGTAGTTAATATGATTGGATTATTATATTTTTTTTTATATTTTTATTTTTTAAAAACAATTATTATTATTATTATTATTATTATTATTATTATTATTATTATTATTATTATTATTATTATTATTATTATTATTATTTGGAAAAAGTGTCAAATTGGCCAACTAAGTCGAGTGGATAGTGCAATTGGGTCCCCTAAGTGAAAAAAACTCCATTTAGGTTCCTTAAACCTGTAAAATTGTTCAATTAAGTCCAAGTTGCCTTGTTTATTAATTAATTTATAATAAATAATATTTTTAATAAAAAATAAAATAAGGACACGTGTCAACACCGTATGCATTTAACCTGATAAACAATAATAAGTATTATTATTAAAAAAAAAAACAAAAAAAAAAAAAAACAACGGCGGCCGTCTACCTTAAACAGTCGTGGCCGTCCTTGAAGAAGGAAGACAGCCACCGACTGTCTGTTTTTTTTTAATTTTTTAATTATTATCATTATTATTTTAATTAATTTATAATAAATAATATTTTTAATAAAAAATAAAATAAGGACACATGTCAACACCGTTTGCATTTAACCTGATAAACAAGTTAATTTGGACTTAATTGAACAATTTTACCAGTTTAGAGGACATGAATGGAGCTTTTTTCACTTAGGGGACCCAATTGTACTATCCACTCGACTGACGGGGCCAATTTGACACTTTTTTCTTATTATTATTATATCATCAGTTTTACATGTTAATCTAAATTGCTAATTTTTTCAAATATCTTTTTACCCACCGTTGATATAATTCACTGGTCAAATCCGCTAATATAATTTCGCTAACGCTAACCGCCACTGCTGGAAATTCTGTTATTTCCGTCCGACGAAAATTGGACGAAAAACGGGGGTTATTGGTCGGAAAACGGGTTTCCGTCCAACATTCCGTCCAAAATGAGACCTCGGAAAATTGAACACCGGTAATTCCGTCCAACATCAGATGTCGGTCAGAAGTTACGTCCAATAGGTCAAAGTTGGACGGAAAATCCGGATGGTAACCCACCATTTTTAGGCTGGGAATTTCCGTTCAACTTTGACCCGTTGGACGGAAATTCTGGATGGCAATCTACTATTTTAGGATGGAAACTTCCGTCCAACTTTGACCCGTTGGATAGAAATTCTGACCAATAGGTTGGTCAACAATTGTGACTAACTTTGACCCGTTGGACGGAAAATCCGGATGGTAACTCACATTTTAAAATGAGAATTTCCATCCAACTTTGAACCGTTGGATGGAAATTGTGACCATTGATTTTGACAGGAGAATATAAATTTATATAAATTATTATTTTTTTATTTTGATCTTGCTATAATATTTTTTTACCTGTTATCAATACATTCTATATCATAAACAAAGTAATTACACACTATCTAAATTCAAAATGAAAATACTTAAATATCAAAATTATTTACAACCAAAAGAGAGTATCGTGTGCATAAATATTTAAGCAGTGTACTATTGCCATACACACCAAAAAAAAGTCATACAAACATCAAGTACTTAATCTTCATCGGAAGCAGCTTGTGTTTCATCATTTAGTAAGCTGGAGTTGTTCAAGTTTAAAGAACTTAACAACTCAGGATTTGCACTGAATTGTGCAAATATATTACCCATCTTTTCAAGTTCTTCTCGGATAATCTTGTTTTCTTCCCGAAACATTTTGTTTTCTTCCCTCATTTGTTGAATTTCTGCCATAAAAGTTGCATTTGAAGATGATGCTCCAGCTTGAGATTTTGATTTCTTTGAAGCTTCAGGAAAATAGTATGGCGTATCCGATCCTAAGCCATATACGTTCCCTCCCCTCTTTACACCACCGGTGGCCTCCAACCACAGCTCTACATCTGATGCATCAGTTTGAGTCTGTCGCAGTTCATCCATTGTATCCTATAAAGTAAAACAAAGTATTTTTATCTACTAAAATAATTCAATGTCACACTTTAAATAGAGGTTATATTACAAAGATTCTTACCACAACTTTTTGAGCTTTTGGACAAACATATGCTCCATCTCCATTCTTCCGTTTATGAGTGTGTTGATATAATTCTACAATACTTGGATCTTTTCCAATTTTTTCTTTCTATTCAAGAATAATACAACATATTTAGTATAATTTTATAAGATAAGCTATTTTAAGTTTTTTTTTTTCTTCAAACTTACCAATATTCGGCGATGTTCAGTCATAGGAATAGAACCACAACTGTGAAGTGATGCACCTAGTCCTCCAGAATTTGAATTTCTATTAATCTTGTTTTTCTCCGAGAGCTTTTTGAAATCATCACTCTCTCAAATGCGGACCAAGTCATCTAGCACATCATTAGGAATCCAATGTGGTTTGGTTTTGTTTTTTTGTCAAGCCCACACGAACCACTGTCAGATGGTCTGTAAGGAGCTTTGCACCTTTTTTCTCAAAGATGCGGCGTACAGTATTCTCCTCTAGTGGATCCCATCTATAATGTTTCTATAATCATCAAAATTCTAAATTAGCAAAGACAAGTAATGTTTTATTGAGTCAGATTCATCTTTTAATTCTATGAGTCAGTTTTAGTAGATATACTGCATAAAAAGATACACTTCAAAAATGAATAACATGAGGTGCTAACTCAGACAAAGTTTTAGTAGATATACTAGTATAAAGTATAAATAAGAGATGCCTATAAAATTGCAGAAGAAGTCCAGCTAATATACTAGTGTAAACAGCAGAAACAGAGATAAAAGATAAGCTGGTCATTAGGTAAATTATATATTTTGATAAGTAACAAGAAATAATAGATGAGTGCATGGGAATTAATATAGTTTCTCTACCAAATTAATATACATATGTCCAGTTGTTTAATGCAATTACAAACTCTTCTAAAATGCTTACCTTAAACTCATTAAACCACACGTCCTTCAGATATTAAGGAGCAACCTTAAATGATTTTATAGCCTGCGTGTATGCCTTTTGTATGCAATCGATGATCCCACGATGTGCTGAATGAGGCTCAAATCTGAATTATAATGCAATGTTAGGTTTTATGGCATTTATATAATATATGTGAAAATGTATAGTACTTACGCTCTTCCGCCAATTGGGTGAATCAGAGTCCTACGGTCATTTGGAATCATGTTTGGTGGAACATCTGATGGCTCAGAAGTCGGTTGAGAAGTATGCTCAGTCGCTGCTTCAACAGTATGCTCACTCTCCCTGGAAGCTGAGGCAGTACGCTCAGAATCAGTGTCATGCAAATGCCTTCTGACTTCATTACTTTCTGTTGTCACTCTATTTTCTTCTTCCGAGCCATTAATTATGGGATGCAATGCTGGCGGTCGTGACAAGTGAAGCTGTGACTGAGTACTTGTACATGTCTTCCTTTTACTCCCTCTATTTCTTTTATGTTGAGACATCTATATAGCACCACAAGATGATAGTCAAATGCAATTAATAAAATACAATATTAAATGCACTTCTACCCATACAAGAAGAGAAAGAGAAGAGAGGTCTGCAGATTTATGATGAAAGGATTATGGTCATGATTGTTGAAGTTTTTAATGTAAATCTGTCAAACATAGGGAAAGCTATATGTGGTTCACATGCAAACAATGAAATTGGCCAACAAATTGGTACACATGCATATATCACTCTCCAGGGGATTATTTGTCATTTGCCATCATTATATTCACAGCAATTCCCAGCATTATATTCCTACCAAAACAGCCTATTGATTCTACTATCAGAAGGACAAAAACTGAAAACGGAAATACTAAAACTTGAAGTATAGATTAATTACAAGATATGCTCTGAGAGTTGACTTAAAATGTGAATGGAAACACCAAGTCTACTCATTTAATTATTAAAATAAGGTGTCTTTTAAAATGAAAAACATTTATTCAATCATCCAATTTAAATCTAACAAGGTCAGAAACCCAGAAAGAGAGAGTTATATGTTAAATTACAGTCTCCTTTAGGCTTCATTTATCTACAGCATTTGACAATTGACATATTATTTTCCTCCTCATTTTTAACCATCTATGAAAACTATTTTCTTTCCCTAGTAACAAGCTATGAATGAAACAAAACATAATCAAAACAAGCAAACCTCTTCATTCCCTCTTTACAAAGCAACAAAATCTTTTCACAACCAAAGTCTACCAGCTTAACGAGCAAGCAAACCTCTTTGCATTTGGGTTTGGACCTACAGCCCCAACAATTCATTAGTAAAAACAATTCTGAGTTAATTATTAGTTTATGAATGCTTGGTACCCATTTGCCTAATGATTTCTTCAACCAAAATACCCTTCTTTCACAGCAACAAAATAGCATGCAGAAAAGAACTAAGCAAGATTTATGTTTTTTTTTATCACTTTGTGTACCTTTCCGATTAAGCACCATAGAGGGAAAACACAGAAAATTTCAACAAAAATCAACAATCAACTGGAATAAAAATTGGGGAACAAAAATCAACAATCAACTCGAAATGTGAGAGAAGAAAAGATATAAGTAAAACCTTTGTGGGAGGAAGAAGCTCAGAATGTTTTCTCGAAATCGCATGTACAATACCCTTGATGTCTTCTCAACTCTTTAGGAAGAAGCTCATAATGTTTTAGCCCTAGATTTTGCACTTTAGCTGGAGATTTTCTCCACAGAGGGAAAACACAGAAAATTTTAGCAAAAATCAACATTCAACTGGAATAAAAACTGGGGAACAAAAATGAACAATCAACTCGAAATGTGAGAAGAGAAGAGATATAAGTAAAACCTTTGTGGGAGGAAGAAGCTCAGAATGTTTTCTCGAAATCTCCTGTACAATACCCTTGATGGCTTCTGAATTGTTTAGGAAGAAGCTCAGAATGTTTTAGCCCTAGACATAGTGTATACCGTAAAATTGGCTGAACATCTTCACAGTTAAGTAATATATATTGATGAGCTGTGAATCGCTCTTTGGTGTCCAAATATCTTTGACCTTTCGCCCCGATTGGACGGCCTGGTCGATTGAAAATGGATAAAGTTATAGGCAAATCCGGGTCAATTCCACCATCATTCAAATTTCGACCAATACGTGTCCTCCTACTTTGTACATTATCTTCAAAGTAAAATGAAGCGAACTGTGTTATCTCTTCAATCAAGTATGCATCACATATCGACCCTTCAACATATCTCTTGTTCTTCATTTTAGATTTGAGATGGTTAATGAACCTTTCAAATGGATACATCCAGCGATATTGGACGGGTCCACCTAAACATGCTTCATCAGCCAAGTGTACAGGCAAGTGTTCCATGCAATCAAACATCGCTGGCGGGAAAATACGCTCTAACTTGCAGAGTATAAGGACAATAGAAGTTTTCATTTCATTCAACATGTCGACCCTGAGATTAGTTGAGCATAGATTTCGAAAAAAAGTGCTTAACTCAACTAAAGCCTTCCAGTGTGGTTTTGGTAAAAAGAAGAAGGCAATTGGCAAAAGACACTGCATAAAAATGTGGCAATCATGACTTTTCATCCCACATAATTTTGAACACGTTGAATCAACACAGTTACTTATATTTGAAGAAAATCCATCAGGTAACTTTAGAATTTTTAACCACTCATAAACAGCAATCTGATGATCTCGGCTCAAACTGTAGCTCGCCTTTGGCATAAGATATCTTCCATTATGTTCCACCAATTCCAATTGTGGCCTATGACATAAATCCTTTATATCCAAACGAGCAGCAGGTGTGTCTTTGTTTTTTCTTGTTCCTTTAACATTCATAACTGTGTAGAAGATGTTATCAAACACATTCTTCTCTATATGCATTACATCAAGGTTATGACGGAGGAGGTTATCTTTCCAATATGGTAAATCCCAGAAAATACTTCTTTTCTTCCAATTATGTGAACATCCAAACCCTTCAAGTCGACCGATTGGGCCATCGGTAATCTTTGGGAACATCAATACACTAGCCAACAATTCTTCCCCTGTCCAAATCCTTGGGGGTCTTGACTTATCTACCCGTTGTTTGATGAAAGAATCACGATTTTTTCTAAACGGATGATCCATTGGAAGAAATTGTCGATGACAATCAAACCAACATGTCTTACGCCCATTCTTTAAATAAAAAGATTTAGTATAATGATTGCAATAAGGACATGCTAGTTTTCCTGCGGTTTGCCAACCAGATAACATACCGTAAGCAGGAAAGTCATTGATGGTCCACATCAGCATAGCTCGCATCATAAAGTTTTGCTTTAATGAGACATCATAAGTTAAAACTCCTATCTCCCATAACAATTGAAGCTCATCAATTAAAGGCTGTAGATACACATCAATATTGGCCTTTGGGTTGTGCTCCCCAGGAATAATACAAGTTAAGAATGTATATGGGGGAGTCATGCACATTGAAGGTGGAAGATTATATGGAACAACCATAACTGGCCAACAAGAATATGATTTAGCATTTAAACCAAATGGAGAAAACCCATCAGAACACAAACCTAGTCTGACATTACGAGGATCTGTTGCAAAGTCAGGATATTGACTATCAAAGTGTTTCCATGCCTCACCATCTGAAGGATGACACATAACACCTGGTTGGCGACGATTTTCATAATGCCATCTCATGTGCTCAGCAAAACTAGGCGATGCATACAATCGCTGCAATCTAGGGATGAGAGGCAAGTAATGCATCCTTTTCTGGGGCACTTCTTTCCCACGAGTACAATTAGGTGGACGTGGTTTAAACCGAGGCTCACCACAAAACTTACAATGTCTATCATTGATATCAGATTTATAGTATAACATGCAGCTATTAACACAACAATCAATCTTCTCATGAGCAAGACCAAGCTTTGAGATCAATTTCTCTGAATCGTAATACCTAGACGGTACTCGATTATCTTGACCCATTATATGCTTATTGTACTCAAATATTTCATCCATTGCTAGTTGCGGAATGTTATAGGTTGCCTTTATATTCATCATCTTAAGCGCATATGACAACTCTGTTTCCTCAGCACAAGTAGGGGATAAAGGTTGCCTAGCAGTGCTTAATAAATCATAAAAGTTTTTTGCACTTGTATGTGGATCTTCTTCTTGGTCATTTTGCACATTAAATGGAATAAATGATGAACCACCTACATCAAACACCATTGTTTCATACTGATTATTTTCGTTACGTGTCTCTGGAAATTGTTCATTTACCGTGGGAATCGGCTCACCGTGACACGTCCATACCCAATAATACGGTTCAAATCCTTTCTTATACAAGTGAACACGGACTTCATCAGCAGATAAATGTACTTTATTCTTGCATTTACTACATGGACACCTAACTGTATTTGTCGACTCATATACTGGAAGTGTGCATGCATAATTAACAAATTCCTCAACACCAGCTAAAAATTCATCAGTGTATCCTCTCTTTCCAGGCAACAATCGATTATACATCCCTTTTCGATGTTCTGGTATACTATCCATATATGCCTATTATAAAAATAAAAATATCTCAAAATCACAAAAATAAATAAATATATATATATATATATATATATATATATATATATATATATATATATGTATGTATGTATGTATGTATGTATGTATGTATGTATGTATGTATGTATGTATGTATGTATGTATGTATGTTTAAACAACATACATACATACACATATATATATATATACGTATTGCATATTCTGTTGTTTAAACATACATACATACACACACACACACACACACACACACACACACACACACATATATATATATATATATATATATATATATATATATATATATATATATATATATATATATATATATATATATTAAAACCACAATAAATGATTTTATATAATAACATTGCAATTGTATGTCCATATATATTATCCATAAACACAAATACAAATTAAAAGCTACGGAGTATTATTTTTAACTCATACCTGGATTTAAAATGTATTTTGTTGAAAATAACTCTATATGTTGTTATCCATGCCAATTTCGAACAAAGAAGCAAATTTTACAATGGAGAAGAGAAAAAAAATGGAGGAAAGTTGAAGAAAATGAGCTTAAATACGCAAGGGAAGTTTTAATATTTAATTTTCCGTCCAACATTTAAATGTTGGACGGT